GTGGCTAGGTTTGCCACAATGCTCCCCCAAAACCAAGCCGGCATACACAGTCTGATCTCAACGGATCGGCTTGGGGATGTCCGGGGAAGTGCTCACAGATCATTTCTCAAGTTCTGTCTGTCTGGACAACCCATCGGCGTTACCATTCTGTTTTCCAGGGCGATAATGTATCATGAAATCAAACGGCTGCAGCGCCAAACTCCAGCGCAACAGCCGGGCATTGTCTCCTGACACCCTGTGTAGCCACACCAACGGGTTGTGATCTGTGAGCAAGGAGAATGGTTGTCCATACAAATAAGGTTGTAACTTTTTGAGGGCCCACACCACGGCCAGGCATTCCTTCTCAATGGCGGCGTAGCCTACTTCCCTTGGTAGTAATTTTCTGCTTAAGTAAGCTACGGGATGTTCTCCGCCATCAGCTCCCACTTGGCTCAGTACTGCCCCCAATCCAAACATGGAAGCGTCTGTGTGAACAAGAAATTGTTTAGTTGGATCAGGGGCAGTTAACACAGGAGCCTTAGTTAATGCAGTTTTTAGTTCATGGAATGCCTGTTCACACTCTGGGGCCCAGTTGACCTGTCGTGGCAAGTTTTTCTTGGTCAAGTCCGTCAGAGGTTTGGCCAGGGCGCTGTAATTGGGCACAAATTTTCTGTAGTAACCAGCGGTACCAAGGAACGCCAATACTTGTGTCTTTGTCCTGGGGGTAAGCCACTTAGCTACTGCCTCTATCTTGGCCGGTTCGGGCCTCTGCTGTCCGCATCCTACCCTGTGACCCAGGTACTGCACCTCTGCCATCCCTATGTGAGACTTGCTAGGTTTTAGTGTCAGCCCTGCCTCTCCAATACGGTCAATGACCACACTAATATGTTTCAAATGATCTGCCCAGGTCTGGCTATAAATGGCTATATCATCTAAGTACGCACAGGCGTACTCTTGGAACCCGTCCAGTAGCCGATCTACCATCCTCTGAAAGGTAGCCGGAGCGTTTTTCATCTCGAAAGGCATGACCCGAAATCAATACAGGCCAAACGGGGTGACAAACGCCGACTTGGGGATGGCCTCCTCGGCTAGTGGAATCTGCCAGTATCCCTTACACAGATCAATGGTAGTGAGATACTGGCCTCTTGCCATCCTATCTAGCAGCTCTTCTATACGGGGCATCGGGTAGGCGTCAGACACTGTTTTGTCATTGAGCCTCCGGTAGTCTACACAAAACCGCGTGGTGCCATCCTTCTTGGGTACTAGCACTACCGGTGATGCCCAGAGGCTATCTGAATGTTCGATAACCCCTAACTGCAACATTTCCTCAATTTCTTTCCTCATGTGCTCCCTTACTGCTTCAGGGATACGATACGGAGTCTGTCTCATAGGGGGTCTCTACTCGGTGGGTAGCTAACAGAGTGTACCCTGGTAAATTGGAGAAGGTAGCACCTTTTGCCGCAATCAACTCCTGTACCTGGGCACGCTCCTGGAGACTTAGCCGCTCCCCCAGCTGCACACCTGTAGCGTTTTCTGCAGAATCTTCCTTTTCTAACATGTCTGGCAAGGGCAGATTCTCATAATCCTCGGTGGCTGGGGCACAGATGGCTGCTACCTCCTCTATTCTCTGGTGATAGGGTTTGAGCATGTTCACATGGAGCATGCGTCGTTTCCCTACCCCAGAGCACGGGCCGATCACATAAGTGGTGTCACATCTCTGTTCTACCACTTGGTATGGGCCCTGCCAGGTGGCCTGTAGCTTGTCTGTGCGGACAGGTTTCAAAATTAGAACTTTCTGTCCCACCTGAAAGCTACGGTCTCTGGCTCCCCTATCGTACCACCGGCGCTGTCGCCGCTGAGCCGCCCGGAGGTTCTCCCGTACGGTTTGGGTTAGAGCCTCCAAGCGGTCCCAGAACTCCAGCACGTATGGCACAATGGGGACTCCATCTGCACTGCTCCCCCCCTCCCAATGTTCTCTAATTAAGTCTAGGGGTCCCCTCACCCTTCTCCCAAACAATAACTCAAACGGAGAGAAGCCGGTAGATTCCTGTGGCACTTCTCGGTACGCAAAAAGCAGATGGGGTAAAAACCTCTCCCAGTCTTTATGGGACTCCCCAAATGTCCTGAGCATCTGCTTCAAGGTACCGTTAAAGCGCTCACACAACCCATTGGACTGCGGGTGATAGGCAGAATTTACAATTGGCTTAATGCCACATAACTTCCATAGC